TTGGCGACGGGAGTGATTTTCTTGGAGGCATCCGTCGTCTTCTTGTGATGTCTGAAGGAGACGTCGGCCTGAGAAAGATCATTGTCGGCGCGAGTCTCGTATTCCAAATCACGAGCCTCGAACTCCAAATCGAAATCGCGTGCCTCGAACTCAAAATCGCGCTTGACGATTTTGTCATGGACTGTGTGGGCTACCTCCTTGACTTTATTGACGACTTGCTTGGCTGCGATCCCGGCTTTGGCGACGGGAGTGATTTTCTTGGAGGCATCCGTTGTCTTCTTGTGATGTCTGAATGAGACGTCGGCCTGAGAAAGATCGTTGTCGGCGCGAGTCTCGTACTCAAAATCACGAGTCTCAAACTCCAAATCGAAATCGCGAGCCTCGAACTCCAAATCGCGCTTAACGATTTTGTCATGGACTGTATGGGCTACCTCCTTGACTTTATTGACGACTTGCTTGGCTGCGATCCCGGCTTTGGCGACGGGAGTGATTTTCTTGGAGGCATCCGTTGTCTTCTTGTGATGTCTGAATGAGACGTCGGCCTGAGAAAGATCGTTGTCGGCACGAGTCTCGAGAGTGGGGTTATAATTGCGATTCTGTAGTCCCACTGACGATGCACCCTTTGGGATTGGTTAAACGGTGAAGAACTCTGAGGTAGAATTTGCGATGAACATACCATAGGCAAGGCCAAAACGTTGCATCTAACAGAAAGTAAAGCGGCGAACAAGAGATAGGTGGTTGAGGAGTGCATTATTGTAGATATTGGTTAAACTTGATCAGAGGAACACGATAAATGTCAATGAATATCATTAAAATGGGCCAGAAAAAATGTACCGGTTTGACAGAGATGAAGGTGGTAGATTGATTTTGGATTGATTGTACTTAGGACCTGCCTGTGTACAACTTGCAAAAGAGTTAGCACGTAGTTGCTTCAGGTTGAATTAGTCGTGATTGCACATACAATTGGTTTTGTGGGGTCGAACGCCTGGTTCAACTCTGAACATCTTTGTCGAAAGTTGAAGTCTTTTATACCTGTAGGTTCGATCACTCTTGAGATTTCGATCTGTGAACCGACGGAACAGACACGTTAGGAGATATTGAGGTGGCATTGGTGCACCTTAGATTCAAACATCATCATCCCATCAGCATCAAGGTGTTGCACGATGAGGCAACTTCTGCCAGCTTCTGCCCAACTTAGGTCGTTGAGTCAAGATTCGGCCTACTGAATGGACTGCATAACACCATAGCAATCACTGCTTCCCTGTGGATTGTCGATTGAGGATAAGTATGTAGAAGCGCAACACAAATGTGCATCTCGGCGGCGCCAAGCGTTTGACGAATCGCGTTGGAACCCAGTTGGAACCTCGGTATCGATCGGATGACACTCGTAGGCGACGAAGCGAGCAAAATCCTGCAAAATCCTCCCCCTCGATGATCGTCGAGAGGGCACACATCAAAGCAGCAAAGTGTGCTTGAGTCGTAAGATGCATCAGACCATACATAGGATATGGAACTTGAGAGAAATGCTGGCTGTAGCCACATTCTCGGGCCCTCTGCCCTTGGATGATCCCAGTGTTACAAAGTTTTGCACACGCTAGCCCCTATGAAGAGATCAACCCGAAGACATCGATGGATGATGTAGTTGGTGGAAAGGTCTTGCCGGTCTTGCAGCTACTGTATGATTAGAGCCATTCTCGTATAGAAAGACCGGAAGAGGAACTTGTCTTACCCCATACTCATCGGTGGCCGGCTACGCTATGGTTCGTTATAAGATATAACATTGGTGTAAATCTCGATTTGGTGGAGGTCGAAACCTATGGTTATGCGAGGTTATGAGTGGCGACAAGCATGGATTATGATAAGGTCGACTGTATAAGGGTCAGGACTCATTGTAAAGACGAGCTTTGTATTTCTTACACAGTTTGCCGCGCAAGTGTAGACCACCAAGGTAGCATGATATTGACCAACAATTGACCAAGCTAGGTAATTACGCAATCGCGGACAAACAAAGACCCAGATCGGGTATCACTGATACCCGATCTGATACTATCAGGGGAACTTCGCCAATCAAAATCATGTCCGGCGTCCTGTTGAATTGGGAGCACCTGGGAGCCCTGATTCAGGTGTGATTGAAGGTACAAAGTCGGAAATAAGCCAATCCGATGCTTTCGTCAAGACTAGGTGCTTCTCTTTTGATGCATGGTTGAGAGAACGATGGTATCTTCTTCCCAGAAACAGCCAGAAACTCGGAGAGAGAGAGGCTGATCATCAAGACTACTCCTGTATCCGATTCGGAGCCGTTCCAGGCAAGCCCAAAACGTCCGGCTTGTAAGACTGGGCTGCTGCCACCGCAACATGGATTCTCGATAGTATTGTCGGAAAATCTGACAAGCACCAATATGGTATCATGCACACCTACCATTGACCCACCAGGTTATCAGCTCTCCGGATAGATATTCGGCCACAGCAGGCGTCTTATTGGACCGTTTAGTTAATTACCGCACTGATAGCGCTGCGATAAACCAGTGGGTACCGGAAGAACCATTCAGTAATCGGCAGTAATCATTCATCCTGATCAAACATCTGAATGGTGTACCAAAGTTCAAACCTGTCAATGATCTCTAATCACGACTGGGGCCTCATCTGTCTCGGGCTTATTATGCAGTGTTTTCAGCAAGTAGACAGCGGTGACATTAATTTATTACAAGCTATGTGCAAAGCTAAAGCTAGGTTGCGTCATCCTGGATTTTAGTTATACGAGAGCGCGGACGGAGCAAGTCGGCCTGAAAGGTGCTCATAGGTGTTCATGCTGAGCAATGAGGTGTTCTCGAGTCTGATGAGCTTGGAGGCATGAGTCGTTGCGTAACTGAGTTCCACTCGTATGGAAATTCGTTAAAATGGTATCTGGCATGTGTCTGGTACTAAAGGCGATAGACGACCGTGTCAGGCGGTATAACGTCGTTAGGCAGCGGGACCCTATGTCACTACCGTCAACGTTCATAATCTATGATGTGGCCTGACGGACTATGCACCATATGTCGACCTTGATGGTACTTGCAACGTACTTGTGGACTGTATCAAGACAGCTACGGCCTGGTGTACCTCGTTAATATTTCTTGATTAGTCCATCAGAATTCTTGTACCTATCCCAAATCCATACTCGCGAAAAACCATAATGGTACTTGCTTGAGAGTCGAGCATTATCCGTGACAAGTTATATAAATTGATATGGCTATTTACATGAAGTAGGTACTTTGAGAAAATCATGATGGATGAGAGCCCTCTCGTCACCCATGCCATCAAGCTCCGAGCCTACTCCGTTCCCAAGATAACTAATTGCATTGAGTCATAAGTCCTTTGAGAAGTAGCTGACGAAGGTAGCATTTACTGACAATAATTCATCATATTCGAGCACTTTTTCCTACGGGTTTCGAGCAATGCCAAACCACGACCACACTGTGAGTTTAACGAAGTATGCTTACTCCTGTATCCGACTCAGAGTCGTTGAAACCATGACGGTTTCTAGTCTCGCGAGGCAGCCGTTTCTCCTGTATCCGACTCAGAGTCGTTGAAAGCATTGCCTTTGCTAGTCTCGCGAGTCAGCCGTTTCGGGCAAACCCATGAGTGTAAGGCGAGTACCAAATCTCGCTCCCAACCGGCTCTTCGATGTTGACCTCGAGGCAGATGCTAGGAGGATATGGGAATAATTTAGTGCATTCGCGATTTGTCCCTTAACCTTGTATCCAGAAATCCAAACACATCCCATCACCTTGACTTCTTATTTTCGGCCATGGCATGCGAAGTAGATGAAGAGACTGAAAATGGAGCCTATGATACTGGTGGCTCAAAGCTCATTTTTAAAGGTTCGGATATCCCATGCATGGCCAGTGAGTATACTCAGAATGAGACAACATCAAATGATCAAGCGCTAATATTCACCTGACTTGTGCCCACTCATTCAAAACTTCTACAAGGAAGCCTCGTTGGACAGCAGAATGAATTGGCCGAAGTCGCGGAGGGTACAACAACCAGACAATTAATTAGTAGTACATTTCCCCAATCCACTAATGAAAAATACAAGCTAATGATAAAATGACAATATGGGCTACACTTAGAAATATTCAGACATCATAGCCAGGAGGATTCTCGACAGGGACTCCGCCGACCATGGAGACCGTACTGGATTCCGCGGGCATGGTATAAGTCGCTGACCATGGAAGGGAGGTCATTACAATATAAATTAAGCTTTTGGAGAACGTACGCAATCCTTCCTCGTCCTCCTTGATCTGTCGCTTCATGTATATTGCTCGTTCTCTTGATTTCTCCAGAAGGCTCACGAACTCAAACATGGCTCGATCTTTGAACCTGACCTCCACCTTAGTGCCATCCGTGAGCCCACCTTCCGGCGAAGGCTTCACTTCAAACGACAAAAAGTTGGGACCGAATGTTGGTTGTTCAAATCTTGTCAAAAGGATTGAATGCAGAGGAACAGAAATTGATTCAAATGGAGCATTTGATTCTGTGGTGAAGATGAACTATCCGGCCAGAAATGCCATTGCGTCAATCAAGTCGGATTGAGGGAAGATGACAAGGCGTCAAGATCAGGATCGGTACTTTGCATGCTTAGAAACAACTCACCCTCTGGTCTGTCAACCAAACCTTCCCAACCGATTTCAGTTTCTTTACTCCACCAGAACCGCCTGCGGATGAAGAGCTCGATGGAGGTGCGTCTGGAATCGTAAGCGAGAGATCAACGCCAGAGTCTATCGTCGTGATGGTCATTTCGTTCGGTAGAGGAACTGGCGAGCGGTTCGCATTGAGCATCGTCCAGTTGAGCGCCATGGTGAATGTGAGTTGTACTAGTTGCAAAGAAAGGTGCTTTGGTTTGCAAGTCACATCGTGCTTGATAGATCACCGTTGTGCCACAGCATTATGAATGCCGGTCTGCTGCGGCTACAGACTCAACGTGTTATGTATGGATTATGGTCAGCCACACCCATGGCTACCTAGCGCAATGGTAGCGCGTTTGGCTTCGATGGCTAAACGGTACCAAAAGGTTGCAGGTTCGAGTCCTGCGGTGGTCATTTTTACTTCTTTTTCTCCACGGAGCCGCACCTTGACTTATTTATCCGTTTTTGCCAAGGTGTACCAAGATAGTTCCCACCATCAACGATTCTCAACATAGCTACGCTTGTTTGAAGGTTCGTTGTGAAAATTCGTTGGAACACAACCGTCATCAAAGTCGAGCAGCCTCAAGCTCGGGGTTTAGTCTAGATTTTGCGTCGCCATCGAAGCAGGGTTTACACTTCACACTCGTTCACGTTTACTGGCAATGGAGACTTCGCAGGACATCTTGCTTCCTTTCATAACGCTAGTTATCGATGTACACAAATCCCTCATGCAGCTCTTACCTGGCTCTACCAATGATTGCCTTCATCTTCTCCTGGTCTGATCTCGACTCGCGCCGTAAAAATACCAGCCACAAACATGTGCAGCAAAAGAAGTACCAAGTGACCACTGACAACCATGACAGTCTCCGCCACGTTTAGATCGTTTCTTTCATGTTTGCCTTCCACGTCAACGGAATGAGATACGTACCCCAGAACGCGTCTTAACGGCGAACATATCCACCCGTTCAACTACTTTTCATGTTGGGCATTTCGGTCAAATCACGGGAGGGTTGCCTATTTCTGGACTTGGTTACCACGGGATTTTCACCTCGCGACAAAGGATCAAAGAGCGGAGAACTGCAAAGCTTCTGTTCTTGCGCAGACCCCCTTTCCACCTTACACCTTTGTTCTGGTACCCCTGGTGTCGAGCGTTGATCGTATTGACCTTCATTGTGTGTATAATCTGCAGGCAATCGAGTGCGGCTTCTTGAGGTGCGTACGATTCTTAAATAATAAGAGTCAGGGCCCTAATCCGCTTTCATTAGTAGAATACAAGGTTCGCGGGTTCACGGCAGTGCGCCGCTCAGCATTCATACATTTGCTTGTTCTTCACGTCGACATGGTGCGTAACATACATCCGCTCTGAGACCTACCCTCGTCCGACCCGACCTTCCGAATATCGTAGGCTGCGCGCGGCGAAAGACCGACCATCCGAAATGTGAACCTGGCTACCTCAAGAGACTCTACTTTGAGCTTTGCTGTCGTTTGGGATCCTGACAAAGGCATTGAAGCTTACTCTGGCTCAGAACTACTCTCCCTTTCACCAATCAAAGAATCACGCTCCGAGAAAGAGTTGCCCGAGTTGTGCAGCCTTTCGGATTACCCTTTCGAGGAATCGTCAGCGACGATATCCGATAAAGAACCCTTCGCTCTTTTCAGCAGTGGCCGAACACATTTTATTGATATTCGCTCGTCTTCGGCTTACGAACGATGCATTGGTGGGCATGATCTTGATCAAACGTCACTGGAGTCGCCGTTGCAAACCAGCTCCGCGGAGGTATGTCCTTTCTGAGTTCCTTGGCCTGAAAGCTTACGGTCTTGCTAGTCGAGCTTTTCCGACAACTCTAGCTGCTACTCGTCCATGACGTCTGAAACCGCTAAAGACCTCCCACCGTTGCCCCTCAATAGCGGAAATCGTACCCCTAATTCTACATTTACCTTTGCAGCCCTGTGGGATCCTGACCATGGCCTATCCGCTTACAAAAACGGCACGCTAGTCAAGCCTTCAGGGAATCACTTCAAGTCTACATCAGTTTCTACTACAAACAGCTCTCAATCTAAATCAGGACCTAAAAACCTAAATCTCAGGGACGATCGTTACACTGTACATGACGTTCACGAATTCAATCCACGCTTGCACTTTCCTAGATCTTCCCAATCTCGCATTAGAAGCCACGCTATACAGTCCTCCACACTAGAGGGTCTGCGTGGTCCCTGGAATTATTCATGCTTCGATCCGCTGAGCCAGGGGCTGCCTTTCGAAGCACGTCGGGCATTTTCTCAGTATGAAGGGGAATTAGGACCACACCCAATCTACTCTAGGCTTTCGACGACCACCAAAGATGATTCTGCAGACACGAAGTCCATTGACGATGAAGGGTTTTTCGAAACCTCTGCGCATCCAGATTGCGATCCACACCTTGTAAGCACTTCCTTACATGCCTTAGAGCCTTTAGAGAAGGGACATGCTGACCTCGCCATCGCCGTTAGCCATCACGATTCTCAACGACTACCACGTCCACATCTACATACATCGCCATTGATGGGAAAACTACACCATGGTTTACCCCACCTACCCTTAGAAAGGCTGCCTCGGAGTTAAACCGGAACCGTAGTTTATCACAAACGCAGACTAAAAATCGCCCAGGCCTCGGTCATGCCAAATCATTCCCAGAAAAACCTAATCTGCGCCAGAGGAAACCGTCTCAAGAATCTTCCAGCGTTCCTCGACTTTCCAATGTATTCAAAGGACGGTGGTCAAAACGCCCACAAGACGATCGTTGGGTTCTGGTGGAGGTCCAGTCTGTGATTACGGACCGCATTCTTGAAGAGTGAGGTTGAACAAGGTGATGATAATGTCGACTGGCAATTTTGTGGTGATTGAGGTTTGTATAGTTGTAGGATATCCGATTTTGTATTGCATATATATGTAATGATGCGCCCTGTATGTAGTATCATCAGACTTTCACGATAATTGACTGCAGAAGGGTTAAACGTGAATGGTGGAATTTACAGTGACTCCTGACCAACGTCATCTCCGAAGTCCAATGCACATCCCGGCGCGGCTAGCCCGCCATGGTCCGGCAACAGGAAGAAGCTTGTTGGGCTCCTCCAAAGAAGCATCTTCTCAGCAACTTCTCAGGCCTTGTCATGAGTCAGAACGATAGACAGAGGGATGTCATTACAAACTCATTAACTTCGACTTCATGTCTGGGGAAATGGCTAGTATTACAAGTGGTTTCATTACTCCTGTGATCTTGTTGTCTGCTTTGGGAGCCTACTACAGCGTCCTCTGGTACTTTGCCAGGCAGAGAAGACTAAAGGGCTTCACTGTTCCTCCTGGACCAAAACAAGCTTTCTTGACTGGGAATTTGCATCAGCTTCCAAGATCTGAACCATGGCTGAAATTCACATCCTGGTCGAAGGTATATGGTAAGATTTTGAACCAAGTGACCTACTATGTCCTCTCAGCCAGAGCTTCCTTCATTTCTTAACAACAGGGCCCATTGTTTATTTTCGGGTATTCAATAAAGAGACAATCATCTTGAACTCTGCCAAAGTTGTCTCTGACCTATTGGAGTCACGATCTCTTGTATACTCCGACAGACCAACAGTCTGGATGGGGGGAGAGCTTGCGGGACGAAAATGGTCTGTGTTCCATACATCGTTTTCCGACCCTCGATTTCGAGCATTTCGACGCCTTCTTCACAATGGACTCAATCCGAGGGCCTCAAAAACCTATCGGCCTATCCAAACCCAAGAGACAATGGTTCTATTGACCGGCTTGGCAAACTCTCCTGATAAATTTGCGGCACACATCCGCAGGTGCTACTATATTTGCTCATTTGCTGCAGACTACATTTCTGACTTGGTGGTCTAGGAATGCTGTTGCCGTTATTTTGAAGGTGGCTTACGGATATCAAGTTGCGGGAATTGATGACCTCCTCGTGAAAATCATTGAAGAAGGTTTTCAACTCTCTGCGTCTCTTGGAGTCCCCGGAAAATACTGGGTGGAGTTCTTTCCCTTTTGTGCGTGTTTTCCTTTTGAGACAGCTTCGTTGGATTTATCATCTCACGAAGTACGGTTCTTGCCTGACTGGTTTCCTGGAGCAGGATTTAAACGCGTTGCCAAGAGGGCTGGACAAGAAATGAGTCGAGTGGAACAGATACCGTTTGAATGGGCGAAGAAGCAAATTGTTAGCATGCTTTCTTCACTGACATAGGGTTGAAGTAACGTCTGAACAGGCTGAAGGCGACTATGTCGAATCTTTCACTTCAAAACACCTGTGCCTTGATGGTGGCCGGTTTGCAGAGAAAGATATACAGGAGGAACTGAAATGGTGTAGTGCCGCGTTGTATGTAGGAGGAGGAGATACCGTGAGTTATTTCTCAAAGTCATGCTTCTGTTTCACTGAACATTACCTTTAAGACTGTATCTGCATTGTCAAGTTTCTTCCTGTTGATGGCCTTGTATCCGGATGTGCAAAGACGGACGCAGTCGGATATTGACAGCGTTGTATCTGGTCGCCTGCCTACTCTGGACGATTACAATTCTTTGCCGTATATCGCAGCCATGATCAAAGAAATTATTCGTTGGGCGCCTGTCGCACCTCTGGGTATGCATGAGCTACCTCATCCCAGTCGCTCTTACTTCCTACTCATCATATCTTGTTCTGTCGCACCAGGATTACCGCACCGAGTAATGGAAGATGACGTCTATGAACAGTATCTCATTCCCAAAGGCACAAGCATTATTGCGAACATTTGGTAAATATATCCCGTGCTCTGTCCATTGACCACGCTGACCTACTCGTTCAGGGCTATTACCCACGACGAAGATATCTATCCAGACCCTTTCGTCTTTGACCCCAGTCGTCATCTTGGAGAAAAGCCACAACCTGATCCCTTCAAATATGTCTTTGGATTTGGCAGGCGCATTTGTCCTGGTGAGTCGTCCTCTTCCAGTCTTCATAATATATGCCCGCTAATCCTACTTTTGAATTCTAGGAGCACATTTGGCAGAGATGTCCTTGTTTTTGAACATATCGAACATTCTTGCAGTATTCAATATTTCTAAACCCGTCGATGCGAACGGCCAAAACGTAGAACCGCGGATAGCCTGGACGTCCGGAGGGGCAACAATGTTAGTCACTTCTTTTCAAATTATTTTGATGTCGTTTCTCATGAAATGTCTTGTTAGGCACCCAAAGCCTTTTGAGTGTCACATTAAGCCTCGCTCAAACGAACATCTTCTATTGCTAGGATAGATGTGAGTTTCGACATGATAAAACATCCGACCGTCTTGCAAAATGCAGCAATTGTAATTGTACTTGCCTTTTTACTTGCACTGCTTCAGATATTCGTTCCACAGAATTTGGACTTTACATCAAGTGGTCATAGATTCCGAATTATGA